TCGCAAGTATTGGAGGGTTGGACTGTCGAAAATGATCAAACTATGATTAGAGATTCGCACGTATCAGAGGGTTGGACTGCCGAAAATGATCAAACTATTATTAGAGAATCACACGTATTGGAGGGTTGGCCTGTCGAAAATGATCAAACTATTTTTAGAGATTCGCACGTATCAGAAGGTTGGACTGCCGAAAATGATCCAACTATTATTAGGGAATCACACGTATTGGAAGGTTGGACTGCCGAAAATGATCCAACTATTATTAGAGAATCACACGTATTGGAGGGTTGGACAGTCGAAAAATATCAAACTATGATTAGGAATTCTCACCTATTGGAAGGTTGGACTGACGAAAATGGTCAAACTATTATAAAAGAATCGCAAGTATTGGAGGGTTGGACTGTCGAAAATGATCAAACTATGATTAGAGATTCGCACGTATCAGAGGGTTGGACTGCCGAAAATGATCAAACTATTATTAGAGAATCACACGTATTGGAGGGTTGGACTGCCGAAAAATATCAAACTATGATTAGGAATTCTCACCTATTGGAAGGTTGGACTGCCGAAAATGGTCAAACTATTATAAAAGAATCGCAAGTATCGGAGGGTTGGACTGTCGAAAATGATCAAACTTTTATTAGAGATTCACACATATTGGAAGTTTGGACTGCCGAAAATGATCCAACTATTATTAGAGAATCACACGTATTGGAGGGTTGGACTATCGAAAATGATCAAACTATTAATAGAGATTCGTACCTACTGGAAGGTTTGACTGCCGGAAATGGTCAAACTATTGTAAGAGATTCGCACGTATCAGAGGGTTGGACTGCTGAAAATGATCAAACTATTATTAGAGATTCTCACGTATCGGAGGGTTGGACTGTCGAAAATGATCAAACTATTATTAGAGATTCACACGTATTGGAAGGTTGGACTGCCGAAAATGATGCAACTATTTTTAGAGAATCACACGTATTGGAGGGTTGGACAGTCGAAAATTATCAAACTATGATTAGAGATTCGTACCTATTAGAAGGTTGGACTGACGAAAATGATCCAACTATTATTGAAGTATCGAACGTATCGGAGGGTTGGACTGTCGAAAATGATCAAACTATGATTAGAGATTCGCACGTATAAGGGGGATGGACTGCCGAAAATGATCAAACTATTATTAGAGATTCGCACCTATTGAAAGGTTGGACTGCCGAAAATGGTCAAACTATTATAAGAGAATCGCACGTATTGAAGGGTTGGACTGTCAAAAATGATCAAACTATGATTAGAGATTCGCACGTATCAGAGGGTTGGACTGCCGGAAATGATCAAACTGTTATTAGAGATTCGCACGTATCGGAGGGTTGGACTGTAGAAAATGATCAAACTTTTATAAGAGAATCACACGTATTGGAGGTTTGGACTATCGAAAATGATCACACTATGATTAGAGATTCGCATGTATCAGTGGGTTGGACTGCCGAAAATGGTCAAACTATTATTAGAGATTCACACGTATTGGAAGGTTGGACTGCCGAAAATGATCCAACTATTATTAGAGATTCACACGTATTGGAGGGTTGGACTGTCGAAAATGATCAAACTATGATTAGAGATTCGCACCTATTGGAAAGTTGGACTGCCGAAAATGATCCAACTATTATTAGAGAATCGTAACTATTAGAAGGTTTAACTGTCGAAAATGATCAAGCAATTATTAGAGATTCGCACGTATTAGAGGGTTGGACTGCCGAAAATGATCAAACTATTATTAGAAATTCGCACATATCGGAGGGTTGGCCTGTCGAAAATGATCAAACTATTTTTAGAGATTCGCACGAATCAGAAGGTTGGACTGCCGAAAATGATCCAACTATTATTAGAGAATCACACGTATTGGAGGGTTGGACTATCGAAAATGATCAAACAATTAATAGAGATTCGTACCTACTGGAAGGTTGGACTGCCGGAAATGGTCAAACTATTATTGAAGATTCGAACGTATCGGAGGGTTGGACTGTCGAAAATGATCAAACTTTTATTAGAGATTCACACATATTGGAAGTTTGGACTGCCGAAAATGGTCAAACTATTATAAGAGAATCGCACGTATTGAAGGGTTAGACTGTCAAAAATGATCAAACTATGATAAGAGATTCGCACGTATCAGAGGGTTGGACTGCCGGAAATGATCAAACTATTATTAGAGATTCGCACGTATCGGAGGGTTGGATTGTAGAAAATGATCAAACTATTACAAGAGAATCACACGTATTGGAGGGTTGGACTGTCGAAAATGATCACACTATGATTAGAGATTCGCACGTATCAGTGGGTTGGACTGCCGAAAATGGTCAAACTATTATTAGAGATTCACACGTATTGGAAGGTTGGACTGCCGAAAATGATCCAACTATTATTAGAGATTCACACGTATTGGAGGGTTGGACTGTCGAAAATGATCAAACTATGATTAGAGATTCGCACCTTTTGGAAGGTTGGACTGTCGAAAATGATCAAACTATGATTAGAGATTCGCACGTATCGGAGGGTTGGACTGTAGAAAATGATCAAACTATTATAAGAGAATCACACGTATTGGAGGGTTGGACTGTCGAAAATGATCACACTATGATTAGAGATTCGCATGTATCAGTGGGTTGGACTGCCGAAAATGGTCAAACTATTATTAGAGATTCACACGTATTGGAAGGTTGGACTGCCGAAAATGATCCAACTATTATTAGAGATTCACACGTATTGGAGGGTTGGACTGTCGAAAATGATCAAACTATGATTAGAGATTCGCACCTATTGGAAAGTTGGACTGCCGAAAATGATCCAACTATTATTAGAGAATCGTAACTATTAGAAGGTTTAACTGTCGAAAATGATCAAGCAATTATTAGAGATTCGCACGTATCAGAGGGTTGGCCTGCCGAAAATGATCAAACTATTATTAGAAATTCGCACATATCGGAGGGTTGGCCTGTCGAAAATGATCAAACTATTTTTAGAGATTCGCACGAATCAGAAGGTTGGACTGCCGAAAATGATCCAACTATTATTAGAGAATCACACGTATTGGAGGGTTGGACTATCGAAAATGATCAAACTATTAATAGAGATTCGTACCTACTGGAAGGTTTGACTGCCGGAAATGGTCAAACTATTGTAAGAGATTCGCACGTATCAGAGGGTTGGACTGCTGAAAATGATCAAACTATTATTAGAGATTCTCACGTATCGGAGGGTTGGACTGTCGAAAATGATCAAACTATTATTAGAGATTCACACGTATTGGAAGTTTGGACTGCCGAAAATGATGCAACTATTTTTAGAGAATCACACGTATTGGAGGGTTGGACAGTCGAAAATTATCAAACTATGATTAGAGATTCGTACCTATTGGAAGGTTGGACTGACGAAAATGATCCAACTATTATTGAAGATTCGAACGTATCGGAGGGTTGGACTGTCGAAAATGATCAAACTATGATTAGAGATTCGCACGTATAAGGGGGATGGACTGCCGAAAATGATCAAACTATTATTAGAGATTCGCACCTATTGGAAGGTTGGACTGCCGAAAATGGTCAAACTATTATAAGAGAATCGCACGTATTGAAGGGTTGGACTGTCAAAAATGATCAAACTATGATTAGAGATTCGCACGTATCAGAGGGTTGGACTGCCGGAAATGATCAAACTGTTATTAGAGAATCACACGTATTGGAGGGTTGGCCTGTCGAAAATGATCAAACTATTTTTAGAGATTCGCACGTATCAGAAGGTTGGACTGCCGAAAATGGTCAAACTATTATTAGAGATTCGCACGTATCGGAGGGTTGGACTGTAGAAAATGATCAAACTATTATAAGAGAATCACACGTATTGGAGGTTTGGACTGTCGAAAATGATCACACTATGATTAGAGATTCGCATGTATCAGTGGGTTGGACTGCCGAAAATGGTCAAACTATTATTAGAGATTCACACGTATTGGAAGGTTGGACTGCCGAAAATGATCCAACTATTATTAGAGATTCACACGTATTGGAGGGTTGGACTGTCGAAAATGATCAAACTATGATTAGAGATTCGCACCTATTGGAAAGTTGGACTGCCGAAAATGATCCAACTATTATTAGAGAATCGTAACTATTAGAAGGTTTAACTGTCGAAAATGATCAAGCAATTATTAGAGATTCGCACGTATTAGAGGGTTGGACTGCCGAAAATGATCAAACTATTATTAGAAATTCGCACATATCGGAGGGTTGGCCTGTCGAAAATGATCAAACTATTTTTAGAGATTCGCACGAATCAGAAGGTTGGACTGCCGAAAATGATCCAACTATTATTAGAGAATCACACGTATTGGAGGGTTGGACTATCGAAAATGATCAAACAATTAATAGAGATTCGTACCTACTGGAAGGTTGGACTGCCGGAAATGGTCAAACTATTGTAAGAGATTCGCACGTATCAGAGGGTTGGACTGCTGAAAATGATCAAACTATTATTAGAGATTCTCACGTATCGGAGGGTTGGACTGTCGAAAATGATCAAACTATTATTAGAGATTCACACGTATTGGAAGGTTGGACTGCCGAAAATGATGCAACTATTTTTAGAGAATCACACGTATTTGAGGGTTGGACTGTCGAAAATGATCAAACAAATATTAGAGATTCTCACGTATCGGAGGGTAGGACTGTCGAAAATGATCAAACTATGATTAGAGATTCGCACCTATTGGAAGGTTGGACTGACGAAAATGATCCAACTATTATAAGATAATCACACGTATTGGAGGGTTGGACTGTCGAAAATGATCAAACAAAGATTAGAGATTCGCACCTTTTGGAAGGTTGCACTGTCGAAAATGATCAAACTACGATTAGAGATTCGCACGTATCAGAGGGTTGGACTGCCGAAAATGATCAAATATATTATTAGAGATTCGCACGTATCGGAGGGTTGGACTGTCGAAAATGATCAAATTGGAAGGTTGGACTGCCGAAAATAATCCAACTATTATTAGAGATTCGCACGTATCAGAAGGTTGGACTGTCGAAAATGATCAAACTATTATTGAAGATTCGCACGTATCGGAGGGTTGGACTGCCGAAAATGATCCAACTATTATTGAAGATTCACGCGAATCGGAGGGTTGGACTGTCGAAAATGATCAAACTATTATTAGAGATTCACACGTATTGGAAGGTTGGACTGTCGAAAATGATCAAACTATGATTAGAGATTCGCACTTATTGGAAAGTTGGACTGCCGAAATTGATCCAACTATTATTAGAGAATCGCAACTATTAGTAGGTTGGACTGTCGAAAATGATCAAACTATTTTTAGAGATTCGCGCGTATCAAAAGGTTGGACTGCCGAAAATGATCCAACTATTATTAGAGAATCACACGTATTGGAGGGTTGGACTATCGAAAATGATCAAACAATTAATAGAGATGCGTACCTACTGGAAGGTTGGACTGCCGAAAATTGTCAAACTATTATAAGAGATTCGCACGTATCAGAGGGTTGGACTGCTGAAAATGATCAAACTATTATAAGAGATTCTCACGTATCGGAGGGTTGGACTGTCAAAAATGATCAAACTAATATTAGAGAATCACATGTATTGGAAGGTTGGACTGCCGAAAATGATCCAACTATTATTAGAGAATCACACGTATTGGAGGGTTGGACAGTTGAAAATAATCAAACTATGATTAGAGATTCGCACCTATTGGAAGGTTGGACTGACGAAAATGATCCAACTATTATAAGATAATCACACGTATTGGAGGGTTGGACTGTCGAATATGATCAAACTAAGATTAGAGATTCGCACCTTTTGGAAGGTTGGACTGTCGAAAATGATCAAACTATGATTATGGATTCGCACGTATCAGAGGGTTGGACTGCCGAAAATGATTAAATATATTATAAGAGATTCGCACGTATCAGAGGGTTGGACTGTCGAAAATGATCAAACTATTTTTAGAGATTCGCACGTATCAGAGGGTTGGACTGCCGAAAATGATCAAACTATTATTAGAGATTCGCACGTATCGGAGGGTTGGACTGTCGAAAATGATCAAACTATTTTTAGAGATTCGCACGTATTGGAAGGTTGGCCTGTCGAAAATGATCAAACTATTTTTAGAGATTCGTACCTACTGGAAGGTTGGACTGCCAAAATGGTCAAACTATTATAAGAGATTCGCACGTATCAGAGGGTTGGACTGCCGAAAATGATCAAACTATTATTAGAGATTCTCACGTATCGGAGGGTTGGACTGTCGAAAATGATCAAACTATTATTAGAGATTCACACGTATTGGAAGTTTGGACTGCCGAAAATGATCCAACAATTATTAGAGAATCACACGTATTGGAGGGTTGGACAGTCGAATATTATCAAACTATGATTAGAGATTCGTACCTATTGGAAGGTTGGACTGACGAAAATGATTCAACTATTATTGAAGATTCGAACGTATCGGAGGGTTGGACTGTCGAAAATGATCAAACTATGATTAGAGATTCGCACGTATAAGGGGGATGGACTGCCGAAAATGATCAAACTATTATTAGAGATTCGCACCTATTGGAAGGTTGGACTGCCGAAAATGGTCAAACTATTATAAGAGAATCGCACGTATTGGAAGGTTGGACTGCCGAAAATGATCAAACTATTATTAGATATTCGCACGTATTGGAGGGTTACAATACGACACGTGTTTTGCCTCGACAGCATCTTCAGGTAATCTAGACTCTGCGGTGGCTGACCGCTAATCTTAGCGTTTAGCCATCGCAGAGTCTAGATATACGCGAAGTACGTGTGTAATTTTTTTACCAACTTTAATATAATGGACTTCCGCAAAATAACGCCTGATTCTATTAATTATCTTAAAAAAGTTTGTACATAAAGGGTTTTTATAATATTAAGGAATTAATGGATGATCATAACCCAAGGAAATGAGGTGATCGCTACCAAGCTATTTCAAATTTGTTTTGTGCTGTTAATTATGTAATATACAAGATTGTAAACTATTATTTAAAAAAAAAACATGCGTGAGTGTCATCGAGCATTCGGTTGGAACGAAGTCCCTTTCGTTGTATATTATTATTGATAAACCTATTTTATTATTGATTAAAAAATACAAATATATCAATTACTAGCGTATATTAAAATGAAGCGTCATTTAAAATAAAATAATATTTCTTTCATGGCAAGATAAGAAAAAGTGCGATGGAGATGGAAATTGTTTCATCTCGGTTCCTTATAGCCGCTAAGGTCGTCTACATTACGTCAGAAGGTGTCGTGACGGAAAAATCTTACACTTTTTGTCGCCTTTTTCCCATCTGCCAAATTCAAACCATCTTCTTCCAAAAAAGTCCCGCTGGGTTTTTTGCTGCTTCTTCTCATTCTTCGTTTTTTTCGAACCAGTGGGAATTTAACAAAATAGTGACTTTTAATAAGTATTATTTAAAATCTATATTGAAAAAAATATTCTGTTTCTGTGTCTTATATTAAAAATAATACCATCTACACATTAACTTAAATTTACAACATATTGACTTCAACGTTTTTAAGACGTTCTGCATTGATCGGACCCCATTTCCCCCTGACCGTGGACTCTGTAGAGCACCTGAAACGTCGGAAATTAAAATAAGTAAATTTAATTCTATAAAATAATCCGTAAATCCGTAAATTTTAAACGTGTTTTAGCCATGCTGCAGCTATATTAGTAGTATACTTGTAGCACGAATGGGTCGGCTCGACCGGGGAAGAACCACGCTGTCACAGAATATCAGTGTAAAATAGCAGCTTAATGCTGCTGTGTTTCGTATGGTGAGTGTAGAGAACCGGAGACCCTTTTTACTGGAAACGAGGCATTCAATCTTCGTCCTTACGGGTGACAACGCATCTGCATTTTGATTCGTAATCGAGGATAAATGTAGATGTCTAATAGGCCACAGCAACCACTTACCATCAGGTGGATATTTACAAGAATTCTGTGTAGCTACACCGATGCCGCCGTCATATATATATCCGTAGTTATATATGTTATAGTAGAGCTACGATGGCTATCCGAGTACAGAATCAGAGTACGAAACCTATCCAACTGCAGAGAGGCGTAAGACAGGGAGACGTTATATCCCCGAAACTCTTCACCGCTGCATTGAAAGACGTTTTCGACATAAGTACAGATATATGTATATATATATATATATATATATATATATATATATATATATATATATATGTATATATATATATATATATATATATATATATATATATATATATATATATATATCTGTAGTTCTTCAAGAGAGCGTTGTCGCCTTTCTTGAAGAACAAGACCACCGCACGTCTGCACGCCTCCGGTGTACTGCTACCATGGCGGACGGAATTAAAGAGCTTCAGAAGGACTTCAGGACTTTGGAGCCCTGGTTCCGCCCAATCGCTTCTTCAATACGAGCGGTATTAAAATTGCGTAAGTCCCGCCGCATGCATTTTGAGATCTGTCTGTTCAGTTGCCTGTATGCTGTCAAATCTACTGATAACTGTAGCTTTATATCCCGTCGAGCAGCCATGAGATTAAGAGTGTGATCGGAGAGTTTTTGTGTTCTTCTGCGGCGGGTCTTTTGAAACTTAGTTCCGACCGCTTGGACAGTTTCCACGAGCTTGTCATTCATATCATCCACTACATTGCAATCTTCTAGGCACTGAAAACGGATTCGTAGCTCGAGCTGAAAGGTTTCGGGGCTTTGGATTAGAGCATCAGGGGGACGGAGCGTTGACTTCATTAGACGTGACCTCTCCAACTTAAAGTTTGGGTTCAGTGTGCCTCTCACCATTCGGTGATCGCTGCCGGTTTTCACCCTCGTGATCACTGACACATCACTGAAAAGTTGTCGTCTGGTCGTCATAATAAAGTCAATCTCATTTCTTGTCAAACCGTCGGGGATCGACCAGGTCCACTTTCTGTGGGGCCGCTTCTGGAAGAAAGAGTACATCATAAAGAGTCTTTCTCCATAAAGTCGGCCAGCTGTTGGCCCCTCGGGATCCGTTGCCCTAGTCCAAATTTCCCTACTTTGAGCTCACCGTTCTCTCTTATGCCTAGTTTTGCGTTAAAGTCTCACATTAACTCCGTATAATGGGTTTTGGAGGGCTGCATAGGTCTAGAGATATCCTCATACATTTCCTCCACCTCCTCATCTGGGTTTGCCGAGGTTGGTGTGTAAACCTGTATGACCTTCAGCGAATACCGCTTGGTGATTCTGAGTATAAGGTACGCAGCCCTCGTCGACACACCCCAATCTTTAAAACGTTGGTAACGAGAGACTTGTGGACGACAAATCCGACACCTCCTTGGGATAGATGGTCGCCCTCCTGGTGATAGAGCAAGTTGCCGGATTCGAGGATTACCGTGTCCTCCCCCTCTCTTCGGACCTCGGATAGTCCTATAATATTCCAGCGCAACTTGTCTATCTCTTCTTCCAGCTCCAGGATCTTCTCGTCAGTTCTCAGGGTGCGTGCGTTATAAGTTGCCAGGTCGAGTTGTCGGAAGTGGCAACCGAACCTCCACCGGAGATTCTTAGCACCCCCTGCCCCGCTGTTACCATGGTCGCCACCGTAGCCAGGAATAGCCGGGAACTGGGGACCGTCTCTTAGTAACTATATATATATATATATATATATATATATATATATATATATAAAATGTAAAGATTCGTACAGGATCGCCCCCATCACTACATTAGATTCGATAGACCACCAATCCTCGCTGAAGAACACCGATTCCTTCCAAGGATGATTCGCGAGGCTATGGAAATCAAAAAACATCCTATTTTCAATAGATAAGATAGCTGGGTGCTACCATCTGCTTGGCATCCTTTTATTAATAAAATTAAATCCCAACCCAAGTATATAACTGCAAGCTTCAAGATACTGTAAGTTCGTATTGCGTAGATCGGAACAAAAATTAATAATTTTAATGTGGAGTTAGCCGTGGTTAACTATAACATTGGGACATCAAACATCGTTATTCCACCATGACCATGGTGCTGTAAAGTACTCGAAACGTCGGAAATATAAAATAAGTTCACATACGCGAGAAAATCCGTAAAAACTAGTTTTATTTAAATACTTTATTACGAGTAGCGTAACATTTTTACATTTTTCACTTGCCTTAGATTGTTCTACATCGTCCTTTCGGGGTTACTTCAGTAGTAACTTACAGTCTCTCAAGGGATAAACGTGACTATTATGTGTTTGACAATGGCAGCGTGGAAAAAAATAAATTTTAGCTTCCTGCTCTCCTTCTCCAATCATAAAATATGCCAATTTTCACACACCACCAATAGTGTGTGAGCGCAATATGCTTAAAAAGAGTTACAAAGCTATTTTTGATGTTTTAGGTTAGTTAACAATACCTATTTTTATCATGTTTTATACATATTTTATATGTTTATATATATATATATATATATATATATATATATATATATATATATATATATATATATATAGATATATATATAACTATATATATATATATATATATATATATATTATACGTCTTCTACTGCGGTGGTCAATTCGCCTGCCTAGTGTAGAGATTTAAGGCAAAAAGCCAACTCTTTATAATATTTCAGTGGTGACGGTGAAATACGAACGTGACTTGATCGCGTATTTTGATTTCATGATTAAAAATAAATAAAACTGAGCTCCTTCATCTAAGATAATTAAAGTAACAAAATTGAACTCGGAAATACAATACTTAAACTTTGGATTGTTTTTATGTAGCACTCTCTACGGTATAATTTACCACGAGCTAATTTTAGAAACGCTCTCGGGATTTATTTATTCGTCATTCCAGCCTGTTATTTATTAGGGAAACTTATTATTACAAAGACAAAGGATTAAGCCTGTAATTATTTGTGAATCTATTACGTGTTCCTGTGGCGCTTCATCTTAATCCTGTCCCGTAATACTCCGTTTTATTCTATTAGTTTCATAAGTGTTGACTTAGAAGATGCGGCTATTGAAATATGTGCAAATATAACACAAGAGAGTTTTTTTTAAGTTAAACTATTTGATTGGTGGCAAAGTGGAGTTAATTATACATTTAGATTAAATTGAAATGTCTGTACTAGAAGTATAACAAGCTTAGGGGCTATGACTATGCTATTAAGATATAAATTATATATTTTATAATTATAAGAAATAAATTCACACAAAGTGGCCCTTACACTAAATTTTCTATCTCTTAAAGTTTGGATGCAAAATCTAACAACAATATTTAACATTTTTAGCACCAATTTACAACAGAACTAGTGTGTTTAAGGGGTAAGGTGATAAAACAATTTTAATGTTTTCCTTTATCACACATAGCTTGGCGCCTGTAATCCCCGAGAGGGTAAGTTACTCGGACCACGTTTAGCCAAAAAAAAAAACATATCGCACATAGTTTACGAAATAATGGCAAGAATCTGAGCTTTGTGTATTTTTGATCAGAGTAGTTTTTTGATAATTGAAATACTTGCCAGTGACTAAAACCTTGCCTATTGTATATATTCAGGTTTTATTTTAGTTCTACGCAGACTAAATGTTGAGTGAAAGCTGGTCAGAAATAAGGAAAACGTCTGTACGTTTTATAGTGCATAAGGTGGTACCATGATGCAGTCTCCCTGTTTCGTTCCGTAGGTGTTGCACACGGCATGGAATCTTAGAACAAAAAAATTAGCCCTTATTTTCAACCATAGATAAACGGTAGTTTAGAATATGACATTTCTTATTACCACAGACTAAGTTTCAATGCCTTGTGCTTTCATTTTCAATTTTGAATTTTCATTACAGTTTTGGATTTGATCGAGTGAAGTTACGTTGAAGTGTTAAACTCCGTGCTTATCCTCTCACGTTCAAAATTGTGATACAAGTGTACCCTTCATCATGAAGAATACTTGTTGTGTTCCGCATTGCGAAAGCAAGCGTCGTAATTTTAAATTACATTGTTTTCCAAAGACTGAGATAGGACTCAAGTGGGTGGAAAAAATTAATTGTGAAAAATTAAAGCAGCTCAGTGCAGAAGAACTACATAAGTTTTTTGTGTGTCACAAGCACTTCGAGGCGAGATTTGTTACCGGCAGTTGGCGTCTTCGCCATTTTGCTTATCCCACCTTATTTACGGCTGACGAAATAAATACTGGAATACCTGCTCTGGAAATGGAAAACTATGGTAATCTACTTATTTTCCTATTAGGGATGCCTTCTTTGATGTTGTATTTTTAGTATAATTCTGCATAACTCTTCATAACAAAGCTCTTGCAGAATAATCAGCCAATATCACTGAAATAATTGTCAATCCTAATTTAAATTTTGTTATCTAACTAAAATCCATTATAGCTAAACTGTTTTATTAGTTATTATTACATTTAAGTCTACAAGTGCCATTTTTTAATGAAATCATGTATTTAAGATTGTGGTTGCATTGTTCACTTAGATAGGGAAAACATATTAATGAATTAACTGAAAAATTGTATAAATATAATAACACTCTTAAAACTTTTCATTTCTATAATAAGACCTTTTTATTGCTTTTACAACTTTTAGCCTTACTGGTAATATGTCATCGAAAAACAGTTCCTACAATGCATCTCTAAATGTGAGATATTAACTTAATTTATATTCCTGATGTTTCAAGTACTTTACAGCAGCACCCATGGTCACGGGGGGACTGAGGTGTTTGAAGTCCCAATGTCATAGTTAACCATGGTTACCTCCAGATTAAAAATTATTAAAGTTTTTACTATCATTCTTCTTACGTGCAATGTCACTCTGCAAGATGCTCCTGCATCTTGCAGAGTGACATTGCACTTAAGAAGAAGTGTACAAGCTTGATTTGTGAATGTGGTCTCTCTTATATAGGACAAGCTAAAAGATCAATAAAAACCCACATTAAAGAACACATAGCTGATGTTAAGAATCCACGCTCTGGGAAGTCTGCAGTCTGTGAACTCATACAGGATCGCCCCCATTACTACATTAGATTTGATGACCACAAATCCTCTCTATAGAACACCGATTCCTTCCAAGGATGTTTCGCAAGGCTATTGAAATCAAAATCCTCAGGACAATACACGGTTTTGTGTCTTTGTTAGGCTGTAATGAATGCATGAATTTATCTCTAATGGTTTGTTTTATTCAAATCCTTTTTATTTCAGAAAACCAAAATGTTTTTTATGATCATGATTATACACAAGCACGAAAAAGACACCATGAAGATCATTCCTACTTCAAAACACAACCTTTGAAATCACAAGGTACTTTTTTCTATCTTTTCTTTACACTCAGCAGAACAGTTGTGCATTAATGCATTTTAATGGTTTAGGGGAAAGAGATCATTATTAAACCTAGAATAATGATGTAAACTGTTAATATTTAACATAACAATTATTGAAATATTTATATATAAATTAAAAATTTAAAGCCATCGTTAAGATGACAGCAACTTCTGCTGTCCTATTATTACATTAACTTTGTTGACATCACAATGATAGTCACTTTGTTGTTCATTGTGTCATTTATTTCACGAGCTATAGTGGTAGCTCTTAATATATATACCACACAACTACTATCTGATGTGACTATCATTTTGATGGCAGAAATTTTAAGGATTTTGCCTGCTGTTCACCGTTAACTATGAAAAAAATATTTGTTTCCAGATTACAATGAACCACCATCCATCTATAAACATTTTAAAATGACAGAAAAAATAGCAGTGTGTCTACATCATGACAAAACTGGTAAATATAATTGTAAAAATCATAAAAATCTTCATAAATTCTTCTAAAAATACAGTAATAATTTTTTAAAGAAATTAGGCAAAATTATTTTAACTTTTATAATGATTCAATTGTCATGCTTTAAGTTTATACTTTAAGTTTAAATTATTTTTATGTTTTAGCCAATATGCCATCTACTAGTAAGGACTTTGAAAAAACTGCTTGTGACCAAAACAATCAACAACCGATAATACCAGGTAACTCAACTGTTTATTTATATATTTTTTTAAATATAAGCCAGCTCTTAACTACAATCCCACCTGATGGTAAGTGGTGATGTTGTAGCCTAAGATGGTGAAGCACACTGACTTAACAAAAGCTTATTCACTCTTGCCTTGAAGACACCCAGATTGTAATCAAATGGAAAAACAGATGCTGGCTACTTATTCCACTCCTTTGCTGGACGCATGAAGAATGATGTGTAGCACACTTTCCGACATGCATCCTGTAGAAAACCGTAAGGCTGGCTACTTTGCGCCTGTGTTCGAGGCTAGTTAGATTTGTTTTAACCAAATTCAAGTCACCAATAAGCTTCTTAGCATGCCTTTCGATTGAGTCAATTTTATTTATTTGTATATATTAATGTCATATTTTATAGATTGTTATTATTGAAATTTTAAGTAGGAAATTTTATGTTGTGCAGATTTGCCGCAATGTAGTAATGTGGTGACATCTAAAAAGTGCATCCGGAAGAATACTACAAGGAATAAAAAATTTTCACCATCATATTTGAGAATATTGAACGAGTTAAAAAAAGCTAAAAAACAGTTAAGTTTTGCTAAAAGAGCCAAAAGGGCTATGAAGTTTTCTAAAAAGGAAAACTTTGAAAAATTAACTTGTAACTTGAAACCCCTTGCGAAAAAAATTATATGGATGCAAATAATGCAAAGTGGAAAACATTCAAAAGGGTGGAGATTCTCTGATGAGGAAAAAATGATTGCACTTGCTATAATGAAACAAAGCCCAAAAAGCTACAGATTTTTACGAAGAATATTCATTCTTCCCTCCATAAGGACAATTAATAAATTAATTAATAAGTTGAAAATGGATTCGGGAATAAATCCTCATATATTCAAAGCGATTAAAACTGAGGTATACTGTTTCCTTAAACACTCATTTTTGTGTTAAATATATTATTATGTTAAGTTAATTACCTAATGTTTTTTATTCCTAGGTTGTAAATTGGCAAGAATCGAAAAAATATTGCTCGCTAATATTTGATGAAGTTTCGATAGAGCCAGGTCTTACATATGACAAATACAATGACAATATCTGTGGGCTTGTAGAGTTACTGTCAAAAACCTGTGACTATGCTGACCATGCCTTAGTGTTCCTCATTCGAGGTGCTGTACACAAATGGCAACAGCCTATTGCCTTTTATTTTTGTAAAGGAACTACACCTGCACTTATATTAAAAAATATAATAGAGCAAGTGACAGAAGAAATAATAAAAACTGGATTAATTCCTGTGGCTTTGATATCAGACCAGGGAACTTCATTCCAGTCAGCTATTAATAAGTTGAAGGAAGATACAAGAAAAAAACAAATATTGGCAAAGGAAAATACTGGTAAGATAATTGAATGAAAGGTTTAAAGCCACAAATTAAAGTTCTTAATAAAGTGCTAAAATTATCAGTAATGCATTTTTATACTTTTAATTGCCTATTAACCAAATTTTTGTTTTCATTTCAGACGACACAATCATAATAAGAGGTCAAAAGATTAATGTGATATTTGATCCTCCGCACCTCATTAAAGGACTAAGAAACAATTTTCTTGACAAAAATATATTATTGAATGGGAAAACATCAAAATGGAATGACATTGTAGATGTTTATTTAACAGACTGCAAACATGCAGAAATGCGTTTGCTGCATAAGTTAAATGATGAACATGTCATTCCTCAGAAAATAAAAAAAATGAAGGTAAGCCTACCAATATAAGAAAATAAATTATCATTAACAATTTTATACCTTTCAGTGTAAATTAAAATGTTGATCTATTACTATTTTATGTAAATACAGTTTTGGAATAAAGCCAAAATAATTAATATTAACATTTGGTCTTTCAGGTGAAAAACTGCAGTCGTGTGTTAAGCAAGACTGTTGCAGGAGCCTTGGCATACACATCACAATTTTGTAAGTTTGTTGATCTAAATATTATTATTTTATTCTAATTTATATTTGACCTAAAATAAGGGGGAATCTATCAAACTTTTCACCAAATTCCAACATCACCTGCATGAAGTGACCTGCTTACTAAATAAATAGTGCTTTAGCAACGCACTACTGTAGGTAATTCATTTACATTAGCAGAACCGAAAATATCACAACTTGATGATGGGAGAGTGTATTGCGGTTATTGGCTCATTCTAACATCCTATTATCATCGTCATTATAGCCTCATTATAAGTCCACTGCTGAACATAGGCCTTACACGAGGAATGCCGTCATACACAGACCTCCCCCATGTGCACCCATCATTTTCCTGTATGTCTTATCAGGTTAACACCTTAGTGGGGGGCCGTCTTACGATTTGCTTACTGGTATGCGGCTACTACTGGAGAACCTTTTGAATTCACTGATAAATGAAGTTCTAAATTTAGCAGAGGATATAGATGTAGAAAGTTGCTATTTGTTTATTTTACTTTTTTATACTTTTTTTGCATACAATATTATATTACATAAACACTGACAACAAACTATATACAAAATGTAGAATTAGCCGGCCTTAATACTAAACAGTGATCTGTTCCAGGAAGAACTATTGAGAAAGAGATTATTTTTATTAAAACATATAAAGGTGCATGAATACATATAAGCTGTATTATGTAGAATATAAAAATAAAGATAACAATTTTTGTAGTGACTTAGGATTTCTATGACTAACATCATATTTATTTTTATTTTACAGCCCACTATGCTGATGGCAAAGCTGTAAGCTCAACATTAAAAAATACTTCAGAAGTTGTGTCATTTTTCGATGATTTATTTGATTCGTGTAATGGGGCAGCTCTTACACGGAAAAACAAAGGGAAGCCCTTAAGGCAAGCTGTAACGAACTCATCGGAGCACGAAATTTTTTGGAAAAATTCCATAAAAAAATTAGAAGGAATGAGATTTATCAATAAAGAGGGCAAGGAGTGTATTGTGCCCTCTCAAAAAAATTATGTTGTGACATTAAAAAGTTTAACTAGATTGTGGCGCTTCTTTAAAGAAAAGGGTTTAAAAATTATGCGCCCAAGGTACTTCAATTCTGACCCAATTGAAAACTTTTTTGGACAAATGCGGGCATATAGTTTTAGAAGCAATGACCCAAATTGTCAAGCATTTAAAAATATATTTCGCTCCTTGTTAGTTACCAGATTCATTAATTTTCATTCAGAAAATTATAATTGTGAGGAGACTTCGGGAGAACAAATAATAAAATTAAAAAAATTATTAGAGG